TTAAATATATTGATTGTATGAAGGTTAATGCAATTGTAGGGAATGGAATTTTCTCACAATGTAATATGTGTGTGTGTGTGTGTGTGTGTGCAGGAGTGTCCCCCCAGCTCAGAGGATTTCAGAGAGATGCAGTGTGCTGCCTTCAATGACAGACCATTAGTGGCTGGAAACTCCTTCAGATGGACCACCTTTCATGGAGGTCAGTAAGACAATTGACCGTTCAGCTGCAAGCACGTGTTGTTTGGAGATACAAGGTTTTCACAACAGTGGTGTACATGATTTTTGTGCATGTATTTTTGTGCATGTATCTAATCTTAATTAAATAATTAGATCAACACAAAACGATTTGTGAGTGCTAATACGATTCAAAGGACATGGAGAAGAAATGCAGTGAAACCGCTGATATCAGTTTTTAGTTGTCTAAGCTTAATTTGATTAGTAGTATTTTATAAGTTTAGAAAATGAGTTGATGTTTACCTTTTTTACACACACACACATTAGCGTAACATATAGTCAGTTATAAGTCACAGACCTTGGAGTGAACCAGTCAACCTCATCAACCAAGTACGTGAGCATAAATAACAGGACAATGAGTCTATCCTAATACACCCTTGGAGCCATATCAGACAATTATCATATTCATTTTTCAAAATTAAGCTTTGGCAGATTAGTTTGGCCAAGTTTACAAAGTCCTTTTGAGAATTATTTTGATTTAACATAATTAGTTTACAAAGTTAGTCTCGTGGCTCCAACCTACAGTAACTAATATACTCCAAAACAGCTGTGGGCAGCGAGGACGGGAGAGAGGAACATAGTTATTTCCATACTACATGGATTTTTATATGTGTTCCACACACGCACATGTGTCTGTGGGCGTGTAATTTCATAAAGTTTGTGGGTCTGGGTGGAAGTTAACGTCACTCAGACCTTTGTGTTTGCAGACGGGAGTTAAGTATAATTTGAGAGTGTGTTTTTTTCTGCTTGTCCCCCATGTGTAACTTTAGTTTGTGTTGTTGGCGGTCATGTGGTAAACTTTCCATGCTGCTATGGCTCTCATGTCCACTGCGAGGCCTGCTGGGTGTTTAATCCACACGGGGTTACGAGTTTTCTCCTTGACATCTGCTAGCTCCTTTCCCTCTCCATTCTCTCCCAATACCTTCTCTTCACCTCCTGCCTGTTTCTGTTTCTCAGCCACCTCTCTCCCTGTCCCTTTGCCTTGCCTATTTTTCCCATAATAAACTAATGAGCCACTGACTGAAGATCTTCCCTGCCAGGCTCTAACCCCTGTGAACTGAGCTGCCTGGCCTTGGGTCACAACTTCTACTACAACTTTGGCCGTGTGCTCGATGGCACAGCCTGCGAAAAGGAGCCTGGAGCAGTGTGTGTCAACGGACGCTGCCTGGTGAGTGTCAACAGTATATCGTATGTGTGTGCTGCTGTGTTCTTGACATACTGTAATGCTTATTTTATAATAACTGTTTTGTGGTTGGCAAAAAGGCCTAATATTTCACAGTTATCCATAAAATTTGATGGAATGTGCATCTGGGTTCTACACCAGCTGTGAACCCAAATAAATAACTAACTCTTCGGGATCTCTAAATTGCTGTTTTATAGAGACATACCTAGGGATAATTTTTTTTTTACCTAATATTTTTTTTTTCTTCTTATTGGGATAAAGTATTCCCTAGGGTATAGCATGAAAACGTCCCATATTGGTATTGGTACGGGTTTGGGTCTCAAAGCTCAACACTTTGCTGGTAGAGACTGAAATTAGTCTGTTCCACCAATTGTCTTAAGGCTTCATTTGGCTGCATATGTTCAGACAGCGTTAACATTTGGCTTATTTTATTATATAAAAAAACAAACACGTTTTTATTTCCCAACATAAAGATAGGTATATGGTTTTATCGGGTTTTTACAAAGCCTAAACTTTACCTTCTGCTCACTGTTAGAAGCACATACAAAACCAGATTTTAAGCTTTTTGATTGGATGTTTCTTACCAAGGGTTACCAACATTTTCTTGGTAGTCATGTTTGGAGGCTTGTGCTTACTGTTTCATCAATGGGCAGGATATTTTCTAACACAGTTATGCATCTGTTTGACTGACGATTCAACCAGAATGGTTTCACGTCTATCTGAGTGCTACAACTGTCACCTAATATTGTCTATTGACTGTTACCTTCACAATCATATAGGCCTGAACTAACCTAACTCCTCCAACTTCCACTGGCCTGGAGTAGATTTCAAAATGAGGCTGGATTGAGCCAAAGTTTCTCTCTCCCTCTCTCTCCTCTCTTCATTCCCACCCTGTTGCGGTATAAGTGATGTTGACCACTCTGACTGGAGCTCTCTGGAGAAGTAAACTCCATGCTGTGCGTAAGGGCCAGAGTGCACTCATCAGTGTGGACTGCAGCCTTCAGTTAGCATTACAGCTCCTGCTCCCACATCCAGCCTGTCCCCTGCTCACCCCTCTCACCCTCACACAGATGGGGATGGCTGGAAATGAACTTATATCCCTCGGGTCGTGAAGCACATGCTGATTAATATCTTACATACTGTACGTAATAGTCAGTAGAAACATCTGCTACACGAGGGGACACTCGGAGGCGAAGTTATTTTTACACTATTGACAAAGGATTAACGTGTGTCTATGTTTACATATGTCTATATATGTGGGTGTCTGTAAGTGTGTGTGTGCATGCTAATGTTTGGTGTGTGGTGTAAATGAACGGATTTATGGACCTTTGCCTCGGCTGGCTGAGGTCAGAACAGCACAGGGCCTGAAACAGGAAGCAGATGCAGCCTGCAGCTGGTGCGGAGAGCTGCAGGTCACAAATTGAGATCAGACTGCTGAACACATGGCTGGTTTGGACAGCACATGTGTGTGTGCGTGTGTGTCCATGTGGTATGTAGATTATGCGTATGTAGATTATGTTTGAGTGTTTTTTATTTGCAGCTGTTAAATGTTGACCTGAGAGTTTGATCAATCACAGTAATTATCACATTCGGTTTTCTGACAATCTGACAGTGAAATTGCCAGAAAATGTCCATCATAAGTTGCTAATGCCAAAGGGGATTTTTTCAAATTGTTTGTTTCTTCCAACCAAAAGTTAAAAACCCAAATATGGTTTTGGTTTGTTCACTTTACAATGAAATAACATAGAAACAAGACTAAGAGCTCTTTAAGGCTTTAGGCACTTTGAACTAAATGCTAACATCAGGATGCTAACATGTACACAGTGACATTGCTGATGTTTACCAGGTTCACCAATTAAATTTAGTCTGTTAACATTTTCTCATTTGCACGCAATTTTATCCTAAACAAACATACTAGACTAGACCTTGAATATCTGCAAAGTTTACCACTATCCACTCCACCTGTCAACCTCATGTTGGTGATAAAGGAAAGGTCAGTAGGATTCATCTTCTGGATCTTCTGTATCACATTTCATGGCAATCCATCTAATATTGTTGATATATTTCTGTCTGGACAGACCTTGAGCCGCTTTATTTTTATTTTTGCTTGATGGATGACTTTAATGATTAATAAATGATCGGTATTGTTGTCAGTTAATTGATAAATTGCTCCAGCAGCAGTCCCATCAGATACCGGACGTTTCCACAGAGCAGCTGCTCAAATGAAACTGATCAATTAATCCTGAATGTTGCGGACTGAAAGAATCATTTGTACGTTTATTTCTACACTCCGACATTTACATTAACACAAATTATTTTCTACGCTTGATCATTTTCTGGTGTTTTGCAGGACCACGGTGGCTCCCACCGTGGGGCCCTCGTGCACTCTGCCACTCTGTCACCGAGGATTCATTTCCTGTTGTGCACACACAGATGCTTGCAGTGTTTTTAGGTTTTTTTAAGGGGCTTAGGGGACTGATTACAGGTTCCCTAGATTGTTGCTCTCTTGCCTGGGAACCTCCCCCTTGATTGGTTTGCTCTGCAGAGTGGGAGATGAAGGCTGGAGAAGAAAGCGGCCACTGTAATCTATCTAGCAACGAGCTTCTCCACACACCATAAACCATCCAGCTCATCCTCCGTGCTCTTTGCTTTGGCGTTTTAAGGTTTACAGAGACGATTCTCAGACCAATCTTCCTCTCCCAAGGCTCTAAGCTGCTGTTTTGTCCCAAAGTAAATGTTTAAGTGAAAGAGAAAATGACAGGGAGAAGCAAATAAGAGAAGGAGAGAGAGAGCTGGATCAAGTTGAGTTACGGGAGGAGGTTTAAGGTGAACCTGCAGCAGAGACAAAACAAAAAGAAAGGTTAGAAGTTGCCAGGGCTCTTGCCAGAAAATGTGTGAAGTTAGAATGCTACGTATCAACACGCTCTCAGAGAAACAAGTTTCAGCAGAGACATCAAACCAGATCAAACTGTTGTTTCCTAAATATTTGCGTGTACATTTGTATGTGTCATACAGAAGCCTGGCTGTGACTCCATCTTGGGTTCAAAGCAGCAGGAGGACGCCTGCATGGTGTGTGGAGGACAAAACTCCACCTGTCTGCACCACAAGAGCGTGTACCAGAGCAACGGTCTGGAGGCAGGTAGGATACACACACACACGCACACACACAAACTCAAACAATCATCATATTATCTCCACAAGGAATCAATTGCAGCAGCTTCAGACCAACACGATCCAGGGATAATTCCAGGCCCTCTCTGTGTTTTCCCTCCCAAGTGTTATTAGTCTGTCAGGTTTAGTCAAGAGGTTATTGTTCTCTGATAAAGTGAATATTAACCATGGTAACAGTTTTGCCAAACAAAACCTGTTGGCTGCCTTTCAGGAAGAAATTCAGCTAACAACAGGTCCTCCAAAATTACAGTCGTTAAGATTTCAGGAAGGAGGAGGAAGAACACAGAGTTCTTCAGGCTCAAAGTCAAGGCTACAAATGACACTCTGGCTCAATGCCACCAAAACGTTTTCAGCCTATTAGTATCTGCACTTCAGAGGCTGACCTGACATAGACTGTTCACATCAAACATGTTAGGGAAAGGTCAAAGTCTGCAGTGTTTTTATATGGTTTGTCCATATATCCCCTGTCAAAAAGGAAGAAAATTAAGCAAAGATGGAATATGAAGGAATATACCTCTAAATAAATAAACAACCTTTATCCAAACTGTACAACAAGACATGTGCAGTGTAAAGCAAAACAAACCAAGCTCATAAATGCTGAAATTAAACATTTTCTCTATTGGTCAGACCGAAGAAAACTGTTTAGTGTTCAGGCAAACTGAGGCAAACAACGACACGTGACAATGTTATAATATATTGCAGCAGGACAGTATTGTAGCCTCCTGTGCCACAGCTCTGACTGCATTTACAGCTCAGACAGACACTTACGTCAAGGAACTGATCATTATAGCAAATGGTTCTGCAGTTAAATTTGGCAGAGACAGACAGGTGGTAAATGTTAAATGATCTCCATCTCCACTCCACCTGGGTAAATAACAGACACACCTGCAAACAAAAGCAAAATATGCATGTGAACTGAAAGTGATGCAGTGGTGGGCCAGAGAGTTTAGTCTTTACCTGCTGTGCATAAATGAGAAGATCATTATTGTAGTTCTTGGGTTTCCCTGTTTTGTATGTGCCTTGGCGTCAAGATTAGAGATATAAACAGAAACAAAGAGCTGCTTGGCATAAAGCCTAGCAAGCTGCTCGCTAGCTTGTAAATGAATACGCACAGGAACAAGTGAGAAGTGGATTTATGTAAAATCTCACAAACCAGTGGCATTGTGATGTGCTTATGAGAAATTTAGTAGAAAGAAAGTTAGTTAAAACAGGTGAGAGGTCCTATGGAGAAACCTCAACATTGTCAACATTGTATATTGTATGTATATTGTAATTGGGCCTTTGGGTTTCACACAATAAATAATGATGAATGTCAGACTGTGATGGGAGGAAGAATGTGACGGACCGGAATAGACTGATGTTGGCAGCAATGTTGAAGGAAAAGAAAATTGAATTAGTTGTGACCAAGACGGGGCAAAAATTTAATTTAGATCCTTTGTTGCCCTCTACTGAGAATTAAATCAAATCGAACAAAAAGCGTCCCACACCTCTGGCGTGCGACTTGGCTCTGTAACAGTGGCTTCCTCACACAGCTCTGTGTAGGCTGAGCAGAGTGCCGGCCATAATGGCCCAGATTGAGCACGAAGAAAACAGGCTGATAATGGTCGCTTTGTTTGGGCGACTCAGCAGCCTTGGGAGGTTTTCTCTCCTCCTGCAGCTGCGTTTCCCAACAGAGGGAAAACTGATGGAGGGTGGTCTCAAAGAATCACTCCTCACAGGGTCAGACGGTGATGGCCTCAAGCTCATCGCTGCCTGTCTGTGGCTCTGACATTTCCTCAGTCACAGTGCTACATCTTCATGTACCTAATGAAGCAGATAAACCTTGCGCATAGTTTCCCTCTGAAACGAGTAAACAGGGGCAACCAAAGTTACGTGCTCTTGAGAGGCCGTAATGAATGGAGTTCATCCTGCGGCTACTTTTCACTCCAGAACAGCAGGGGAACCATAGAGCTGTCCCAGTCTCTTTTTGTTTTGGCTCAGAATTGAAATATCACTTTGTAATGAATGGTTGTGACTTCACCCTCATTCATAAATTGTGTCTTTTTGCGCTCGTGAAGCGATCCTGTAAACCATTAATCATAATTAATCATTACTGACATCATAGATTTTGATTGTTTTATAATGACAGATAATCAGTATTGTGATACGAGCTACAACCTGCCAGTGTTTGGCAAGGTCTCTTCAAAAGAACACAATTATCTGATTACTAATCCATATTATTTGTGAGTTGCTGATTGCCTATCAGTTACTGATTGCTGAAAATTGTAGATTATTTAGAGTTCATAGTACAAACTGAAGGCCTGCAGCAATCTCTTGTTTAAAGTGAGTGCACTTCTCAAACCACAGAACTGTAATAAATGTTTAGAGACAAAAAAGACAAATAAATATTATAATTATATAACCTTTGGAAGGAAAATTACAGTATTTTGCAACCATGGTCTGTCTTTTATTTATTTATTTTTTCTTAAAAATTGTCAATATGCGTGTGTCACGCTGTGTAGACAACCCTTTAGACATCCTGTCACGTGATATCCCTTGAGTACTTTTCTCGGACATAAGAGACATACTACAACTATTACAGGCCGTGTAAAGTTGACTTTAACATCAGTGTCTCATTCTGACCTCGAAGTTGCTTTAGGTCACATCCCAGAGCCCCAGTGTAAACACAACACTGGGACGCATCCAGTCAAGCTGCAGGTTGAACCCAGATCTATTTCCGCAATGCAGCAGAGAGTCATAAGGGATTATGCGTTACTAACTTTTATGTCCTCCTTCATTTAGATCCAAATAACTTTAACTTTAAAAGCCATCTGAGGCTTTTCTCTTCTTGGCCTCATTTTACTTAGTTGTGGAGCTGTTTTTAGTGCAGCACGTGTGTCCCAGATTGTAAAAGACTGAATTTTCCTTTAATCATGTTTAAAAAAGGGGAAACTAACATTAAAACCAAGCCTCTATAACTGAGTGTCTCTGTTTGCCAGGCGGACCTTTTGGATACAACGAAGTGGCCATGATACCAGCTGGAGCCACTCACATCCGAGTCACAGATAACAGCAGGAATTATCTAGGTAAGATTCAGCCTGTCACACACACACACACACACACTCACACAGGACACCTGGCCTGCCGTGTGTATCAGTTTCAGCTTTCTGCAGTAGACTAACTTTACGTCACTGGCTCCATAGCTGCAGTGTAAATCAGGCGCTTTAAATGAATTCCTAGACTTGCTATTACTTCCTCTCCCCAGAGACAGGAGCGGCTCAGCAGTCCCATCTGGTCTCTGGACCTGTTGTGTGTTTTCCAGGCAACATAATAACCAAGGGCATCTATTCTCATCCTTGTTTATGAGACCAAAATAAAACAGGCCCCCGAAATGGCACACACTGTGGTTTTGAAAGGGACGCTCGTAAAGACTTTATCTGACCACTGGTGCGAGGCAGGTGAAGGTACTTGTTTCCATCTAATGTCATGGAAAATCCCTCTCCCAGCACTGAGGAGAGATGGCTGCCATATATAGCCAGTTGGCATATTTCTGCTTCTGACAGCCTACATTTACCTCATTATGACCCACTTACATGGAGCGCTAATTGTTCGCAATTAGAAATATTTGACTCGTTTATAAATCAAACTGAATAACGCGATTCTCTTCCTTCCCTCCCACCTTCTTCCCTCATCCAGCCCTCCAGAACGGTCGCTCCCAGTTTGTGATCAATGGTAACTGGAAGATCAGCATTCCAGGAGAGTACAATGTAGCCGGAACGAAGCTGCTGTACCGGCGCTCGGCAGACACGTGGGAGAGCTTCGAGGTACCAGGACCCACCCGGGAAGACCTCCATCTAATGGTGAGAGTTCATCTGGTCTCAGGAGCAGGGATTCTCTTGACGTTTAACAGCTTTCTGTTCATTGTAAAGCCATTGTAAAGTTTTGCATTTTACAGTCTCTGTATTTTATGTTAAAGGTTTTATATATATGAAATTCACATGTTACTGGAGGTCGTACTAGAGTACCAGCATCTTGTACCAAAACAAATGGTGCTGTGGCTGACTAGATTTCATTTACAAAGATTATACATTTATTGAGCAGATAATCATAAAACACACGTCAAACTGGACAGAAACAAAATAACTCACCCAAAGCTTCTTTTTTAGTCTTGCCAAGAATTGAGAGATTTAAGTTTTAAATCTCATATAACCTTTAAAAGCATAAAACCATTCTGGTACGTCTGTTTTATCACAATCAACCAATACAAAACAATTGGCTCAATCATCAATCAGGCACTAAAACCAGTAAAATTATTTGTGCAATATATTGTATTGTTTTTCTTTCTTCTAAACTACACCTGCCAACACTGACACCTGACTCAGATTTGTTAGATACCCAATGAAGGACTTGAATCTGGACTGGGACCTCTCTAATATACAATACAATATTAGATACAGTATAATGAAATCCTTTAGATCAGCACTAACAGACCTTGTGGTGATGTTGTTGTTTCTCTATAGAGTAAAAAAGTAGTTGATGTGTCCATGAAGATTGAGAAAGATGCTTTCTAAGAGCTGCTTTCATGCCAAAATAAGGAGTAAAATCAAAAAAGTAAATATATACTATATGTGCGTACCCTCTATGCTAGACTAAGTTAAAATAGAAGGGCAGATGAAAACAAAAACAGATTCAAAACCTTTCCAGGCCAGTTGTGATGTTCCCGTGCTGTCCTTGTGTGCAGGTGCTGGCAACAGACAGCAACCCAGGTATCGAGTACGAGTACTGGTTGCCACCAGACCAGTATGCCCTCTACCATGGGAGGAGGAGTCCACTGCGTCAAGCTCACCACAGTGCCAACTACCTCCCCTGGGATGAACCCGCCACTACAACCACAACCACCACCAGCACCAGCACTACCACCACCCGGGCTCCTCCTGTCACCACCCGACCACACTGGTGTAAGTTTCATTTAATCACACTTTAGTACATTCATAGATAAAAGGAATGAGTTTAAAGGAATAATTCTCCCCAAAATCATTAATAAATTATCTACTGATCAGAGTGAACTCCATTAAAGTTGGGAAGAACCGAAGGGCCGTAGTGCTGCATAAAAACTATTTCAATATTTCAGCTACCTAATTTATTTCAATGACGCAACCCCAGGCTTCTGCAAAATAATCGTAATGTAATTCAACTGATTATCTGCCAGTAATCGCAAAGAAGGTATTATAAACAGTTGTGAAGTGTTTTGGTGTCTCAATTTGTTATTCAAACTGGACCTCCTGGATAGTATTTCATCAACTTACCAGTACCTGAAGAAAAACCCAACCAATACAGCCCCTTGAGGTTTCAGTTTGAACGTAAATGCCCACAGTGTTCCCTCAAACCTGTGAAGCTAATGCAGCTTCTGTTTAACAACTTTAAACACAGATGGATGTCCATTAAAGTAAAATTGCAGTTTCATACGACCACAATCTTATGGATCTTATATTCTGGTTTTTATCAGTAAAAATAACATTTTACTCACCAAGTTAACTACTGAGAACAAGTCACTAAATAAACAAAAAACATTACCAAAAAGATGCCTGACTGGTCAAGAAACTCAAGGCAACAGGAGAACGGTAAAGTTATTATCTAAAATGTCAGTTTTGGATAATAAACCAAGAAAACCACTGCACTTACCGTAGTTGTGTGCACACAGTTTCCTGGACAAGGAGGGATTATTAATGTAATTTCAGGTGCATTCATATTTAGTTTTACCTCCAAATAAAGTGGATTAGACCCTGCTACCCTGTTGTATTGTTTACAATCCATCTGACATCCTTGGATTTTTGTTTTTTTCCCATTGGACTCTAGCTGTTTGTAGCTCGATTGGAATGATGGCCACATTTACCAAAATATGACCAACGCCCTAATGTCTGTCAGCTCATGTAACATATTCCAAGTGGTTTGTAGTTAAATGATTACACTGGTTTTCCAAAATGTAACACATTATGCCCAATATGTTCCTTTACTGACTTTGGTCTACAGCATGCTCCTCGTCCTTAGGACGTACAGTAATGAGGGAAATATTGGATCTTTGGACACTGTGTAAAGCAGTTAATGCAGCAGGAGCATGGAGAAGCTGCACCTGAAGCACTTACAGTAATGTGAAGGAGATCTTATATCTGGTTGTAGGGCTATTAAAATACGTATCATATAAGTATGACATTGTCAAAGCAGAGATATTAAACTAAGATTAGCTTTTTTATTGCCTGTACATGAGTGGACTTTAACCCCAAGTCTGCAGCAGCAGTATTGTTTTTTTTAATTGCAGGAACTCAGTCAGGATTGGGTTACAAACACACTGATCTTGCACATATGTCTGCACACCCTCACAGGTGTTTCCCCTCAAATCCTAGGAGGAGGTCCAATCAGGAGAGTGTGCTGGACAGTGGGTTAAAAATGATCCATCCTCAGTTCACATTTGATTAAAAAGAGTTTATCAGCAGGCTGGTTGCTGAAGCTGAGGAATGTAGCTGGTTTATCTCTTGTGATAAGCCTGCAGTACACATGTGCTGAACCTCTCGTCCTTCAATACTCACATTCACATGGAAATCTGCACACAGCAGCCTGAGGACTTCTGCCTTCTGCCGGAATCCATCCAGTATTGTAATAAATCTAAGTTGCCTCCCTGGAAAGACTTTCCCGCTGATGGATTTGTGCAAAACAGAATCTGCTTATTGTTTGTTGCTGCCAGAAATAGGGTGTTGATTGTTTGTTAGGTAAGGAGGTGAACGTTCCAGTCACTGAGTTTGGGCATGATTTTTCATGTTCTGTAAGGCATAATGAGTTTAGAATGATCTTGGTCTGGAAAACTAGGAATTGTATGAATGTTTGTTTTGCATTGCCATTTTCATCTTCACACACCACAAGCTTTTAAAAAAACAAGGTCTTGTTTCATTACTATCAGATCAGTTTATCCAAACAAAGAAATTCCTGTTTTCATCGGTTGTGAAACACAGTGAGTTGTGCCTGCATTTTTTTCCGTCTTTTAAAATCCTGGAGTTACTCGTTGGTACCAATATCAGTGCATTGCCATTACCCAGAAGGAGTCTTATAATTGCAGATTAACAGGATAAAACAACATGAAATGAAAACGCACATCTGAGAGGAAGCTTGAGTCTACGGTGTTTACATGAGGAAATTACCACAATTATAATTGGAGATCACTATTTCTACTAAATCTGCTTGATGTTTGATTGCTGTAGCACAATGGAAATTGTGGGCTGTGGTCAGACTTCTCCAGAATCAAGTGATGCACATGCTGCATTACTGCTCACCATTGCTGTTAGCTAGATACCTAGTGGCAGTTAAAGTCAGAAATGTTCATTTATTTTTTTATTTTTTTTAAGTATTTTTTGGGGCTTTTATTGCCTTCATGATA